TGGCGGCGCCCGCCCCGACCTCCCCTCCAGGCGGTCACGTTCCCCCAGAGACCAGGGGAAAATTAACTAAACTAATTTAATTAAGAGGCCTCACTGCGAATTAACAGCACCTGCACGGGGTGGAGGTGTTTCTCCAGGCAGAAACGGCTGCGATGCCTCCCCAGCTGTTGGTGTGAGCCTAACAGGCTTCCGCTGGCGCGCGAGAGGACTTTCGTGTTAATTATTACTAGAAATGGAATAAAAAGGTTGCGGCGCTACCAGCCTCGAGGGCGAAGTTGGGCTGGGCTTTGCAGCCTGGCTGAGAGGCTACACGCAGCGAGGCCGGTGGCAGTGTTTCACGTTTTCAGCCCTAGCCTGTGTCACCTTACTACTAACTCCAGGCAAACACTCTTAAAACTCTTTCTTCAACTTTCTTAAAAACTCTTAAATCGTCCAGTTGGGGGAGGACGAGAGAGATCTCCTCTGGTGTGAAGAGCTAGCCACGGGCAGTCAGTCTTCAGGACGCCCCTGGGGTTAACGGCCATCTCGGCCGGCTCCAGGTGTCCTTCGCAGCCAAGGAACGCGGGCTCCAGTTTGGTCATTTCGTCTTCGTGCAGTGCTTAGGTGAGGTGAGGCACAAGGCAGCTTGCCAAACCTTTGAAACTACGCAAAAAGCGTTTGCAAGTTCCGCTGCGTTTGGCTGCAGGAAATCTTTGGGGGGTTTAGGATTTGGTGCTTTGCAGCTTGACTGTTACAGCTAAGCAGTGAAAGAAGGTGGGGTCTGGGTGCCTCTTTTTATGGGGAGGGCAGTTCCAGGTGATCTATGCGATACGCTATTATCTGGCTCCGCAGGTAGCAGTATGCTGCCGTAACAACTCTCCGAGGACGTCAAATACATGCTCCAGCGTGGCCGACTACACAAAAACAGGCTCTGTGCAGCATCTTCTAAACTTCCACATCAACCGCTCGCCATGACACAACCCTGTTTCCACAGGCGGTGTGTATACCTGCCCTAAACAGAGGGGAGCAGACTGAATCTCTCAAACGGCTGAGAGTTTTTCATGTCTTAATGATTGCCAGACGGTTTGTTCTAAGGGACCAACTTGAGTCCTTAACACATGTGACAAACATGCAGCAGAGGAGGCTAATGAACCTGGTAGTTTAGGTTGGAGACTCAGTCTTGCCCTTGGATTCATCATTCCTCATTGCCGTATCCTGTTTTGATTCAGCTCCTGTAACACATAATAGGTTTTTTTAGGATACACAGCTGCGCTTGAACGCAAGGTCAACTTTCAGCTCTTAGAACTTGTTCACTTAGGCAACAATTTAATGTTATTATTCAAATGTCTAATTTGTACCTTTATTGAAAAGAAAATTGGTTGCATCCACAAACTCATTAAAAAGAGAACCAAACAATTAATATTTTGGCATAGGTTGTCCCTCAAAACTCAGCTATGTGTTTTCGTGAGTAAGGTTATTATTAAGCTTATTTGCAAATTTTGGGGTCTGGACCAAAGCCTATTGTATACAATGGAGAGAAACTTTGTACACGTTGTGAAAGAGGCTTAACAATTATTATTTCTCTATTGAATATATAACCAGCAATTCACCTGCATCACTTAGTCTCGTATGCATGGTGGCTGTTGCAGTCAAAAAGTAGCAGTAATTTGTATTTTTGTATTTAGGACATGATAAGAATGGACGTCGCTGGAGGTGGACAATAGGGATTTCTCAGAACAATAGTACTGTGCACTGCGCGAGCTCTCCCCCTCTGCTTTCCCCTTTCTGCTGCATCCCGGGTGCGCTCTGGAAAGCTGCAGCAGGATGCTACCTGAGAGGGTTGTTCAGTTGGGACCCTTCTTGCCCCCAGGGAAACGTAGTGTGGGTCTTTGCTGAGCAAAATCTCATTTTACAGGATTTGACGCAGTGATTTGTTAGACATCTGATAGTAAACCAAAACAACCAATAACTTTTACAGTACAGGTTTTTCTCTACTAAGATCTCATATAACACCGCATATATACAATCAGGGCAAACGATGTAATTCCAAATTTACTTATGCACTTTAGTTCTATGTTTTCAGGGACTTGCAAATAGGGAAGAACCAGGAAGGAGTATAAAATACAAGAATCTTGTACTGCAAACTAAAATCATATTTTAAAAAATCTGGACAAGTTGTACTAACAACCTACAGAGATGCTCGTGAACTGTGAGAATCTCACTATGTCATGAGAAGCAGGGAAACATACTGAAATATATTTTTTGATAGGAGTGTATGGCTGGCTCTTTAAAGGAAGAGAAAACGAAGGGAGCAAACTTTTCCTTTTTCTTTGAACCACAAATGTTTGAAATAAAAGATAATGCTGCAAATGCAAATACACACAACAGGCATTTGAAGAAGTGCCTTTTTCACAGAGCTTGCCTTTCCGAAGATCACTGAAATGCTGTCCCTTTTTGCTCCACAGCTAAAGCTGTTTCTGCCTGTTAATTCAATTTCTTCCTTGTATCTTCTGGGTGTAACTGGAGAGACCTATGTGCTTTGGCAATCAGATATTAAGTCTTAATTAGCATTTGGCATTACATCACTTCTCAGGTCAGATGTTGTTAGTAATTGCCTTAGTGGGAAGTTTGCTGATTAATAAGGCAAAACACATTCCTTTCTGGAAACCAGTTTGGTCTGACTCATGCTTCTTCCAGTCACAATATATAACCTGGCTATTTCATGTCGACTGCTGTAATGCATATGTGTGAATGCACTGCTACTCATTTTACCATTTTATTTTCCCCAGCACGGCCTCTGACTCTGACGAAACGTCTCCTGGCGCTCCCAGCAGCGCAGGGAGAGGGCTCAGAGGCGTTTTCCTGCTATCACGTTGTCTCGATGGCTGATGTCTGTGTCCATCTCTGGAGGATCTTGATGGCAGCCACCAAAATTACCCAGAAACATAAAGAATGTGTTAGAGAATGTCACAACTATAACGTAACGTATATATTGCTTGAACAATCTGTACATGCCTATAAATATTAAGCGTTTTATGTTGACGCATTTGCACCAGAGAAAGTATCCTAAATTGTTCAAGCTAATGTTCAAACTAAACAGTAATAATCCTTCAACAAGGAGCAAAAGACAGCTCTTTTGCCTCAAGTGTTTAATAGTCACCAGGGAAGCCTGGTAATTAATTTATTGCTTTAATTATACAGTGTGTTAACTGTTCCTGTCAATGTCTTTTTAAGATAAGAGTTTTGTTGCATGAGTAGTTTGGGCAAGAATAAAAAGAGTTCTTCTTATCTTGCCTACACTGAAAACATAACATTAGAAGGAAAATGAAGCCCTCACTCTTCCTGTATTTTATAGAGACATTTTAAAAGCATTTAACCAAGACTAAGAAATGTCTGCTTACTCACGACTTAATAGGTCCTCTCACAATATTTGTTATTTGAAAATGAAATAAATATTTCTATCTGGTCTAACCAACCACTAATTTGAATTCATTAAATAGAAACTAAAGCTCGAAATCTGTTTCTTCCTTTTCATATGTGCAGAAGGGCTTGTGAACCAAAAAACCTGTCATTTTTTTTCCCAGATAGATCATTTGCTCTAACAAAGTACTCTCTCTGTAAAACTTGCTTCACTGTAGTTAAAATTAGCGCTGATTATTGGCAAGATTTATGTGCTCTATTGGTATTAAACAATCCTACCCAATTTTACTTACCTTTTTTAGCAGTCTCATATTATTATCCAGTTACACTGAAACTTTCCATTTCACTCCTCTGGGAAGCGTGTACCCAAGAGCTGATGTTTAAGACACCTTCACTATTACTATTTATTAAAGGACCTTTTCTTTCAGTTGCCTTTCCTGGGACAACCAACTGTGTAATGGATGCAGCTCTCTGAAGCTCAGCCGGAACAAGATCCTGCCAGCTGGTGGCACGGATCCACTGTGTCCTGGCTATGTGCAGATCTGGAGCAGACAATGGAGAACGAGTGGTGCCTGGAAGGAAGCGTGTATTTTTTTCTGGTCTGTCTTCATCACAGAGAACAAGTGTGACATTTCGCTTAGGGTAAAGACCTTGTCCTCCTTTATTCTCTAGAATGCCGTCTCCTATGAATCCTTTTAGCACCCAGCTTTCTATATCTGCTACGCACTTCAGTGAGCTGCAAGAAAACCCTTAAATTCCTCTAATACCATGATTAGTTCATTCAGTGTCATTGTACTGTTCTAAAGCTTTGCCTTATTCCTATATGGGCTCCTTAGGCCAGCAGCCGCAGGGGCAGCTGATGAGACCATGTGAACCTACAGCTCCAGTTACACACTGAATGGAGGCCACCCTAGAGAGAGGATCTCTTGCTAGGAAGATAGACTATCTTTACTCAAAGAAATTCAAAGGAGTTAGAAAAATTATATCATGGATCATTATGGTTGTTTAGACCAAGCTATTGTGAAGCATCAGTGCAATTTTCTCTACTAACTGTAGAGGAAAGTAAGGTCTGAAACTCATGAATGACCAATTTCCATCTTGAGCTCCTGTGCTGTAGTGCTCATCATACCTGACTACTGACATACCTGACATATTATGATTATAGCCCTTAGAGAATAGTTTGCTGTAGATCTGTACCGTAAAAGGTTCCTATTAACAGGAAATGGATTTCCATCTATATATGACAGATATTAGACCTATTGTAAACTAAATGTTTGCACACAACAAAAACAGTCTGCAGTAACTTACATAGTCAAGAAATTACGTAATTACCGTCATAATATAATTTAAATTATTTGCAGAAAGCAGCTGTGTGCCATAATAAAGCAAAGACAATTCACAGTAGCAGGAGGGAAGAACCAAAGAATTCCA